TATGCATTTGTAATGTTTACTACTTCCTAGTGGAGGATAGAATTAATAACACGAGGTACAACACATCAGATTTTAGAATCTCATATAAAAGCATATAATTCAAATGGGATGCAAGGAGAATTGTAAATCAAGGTTAAGTACTTTTTAAGACAAAGAATTGCATCCACTTGAAATATTACTAACACTGTAAGTGAATATTGAAAGCAAGTATCTGAAGTAGAGAAAATTTGGATTATGTATATATAGTTGTACACAAGTTATATTTTAATGTACACTGCATCGTGAAATAACATTTCTGTAGGCATCTGCTGAGGTGGGTCCCCAAGATCCCCACCTCCTGGAGTCCACACTCTTGTGCAGTCCCCTCCCATGCTGTACCATGGTCTGTCTCCATGCCCAACAGCGAACTCATAGCATAAGTGATGGTACATAACTGGGATTGGCTGTAAAAGATACCACAGCTTTTGCCTGTGTGTCTCTCGTCCCTTGCCCATGTTATGAGCAGCCCTATGGCGCTATGTGGCTGTGATACGTGAGCAAATGAAGCCTCTGCCAACAGCCTCATGGGTGAGCTTGGAGCGAGGCTCTCGCCAGCCCGCTAGGCCGCTCTTTGGTTCCCAGCCCTGGATAACAAACAGCTTGACACCTCCAAGGAATCCAGGGAGAGCGAGAGAGTGTGTGCCAGAATCATCCAGGGAAGCTGATTATTGCTGACGCTACAAAACTGCATCGGGAAAGAAATGTTTATTGTTGTAAGCTGAAGAATTTGAAAAAAAATTGTAAAAATAGAAAATAAAAGTATGGTCACTGATCGTAGAAAATCTGAATCTTTTAGGAGAAAGAAATAAGGAAAGCAATTAGCTATGTCTAGTTTATAATAAATAAACTGAGTTTCACTAACAAATATAACTCATAATAATTTTCTTGTAATGCATATATACAACGTACAGGAAACTTAAAGCAGAATTATGCCAAAAGACTATTACTCATGTGTATTAGTATACAACTTTCAGGGTGGATGTGAATTTGGGTGGAAAAAAAGACCATGCTAATCTGTTAATTTTATTATAAGCACCCTCAAGATGACAAATATTTTGTTATAAAGTTTAAGAATGATGAAACTTCTTCTCCAAAGAGAAAATGAGAAAAAGCTTTCCTAGAATGCACTAATATATTTTATACAAATAGATGCATTTCTAGATTTACCTACATATTTTCTGGCAGGTGAGTTTGCCTGCACACATCTCTGCCTTTCTGCACATACATCATGCACAGAGACGTATGTGCTTATTAATTCTTTGAAATCCTGGCTCTGGAAAGACCAACACTGTTTAGATTTGTTTCCACCAGGTAAAATGCTCTTTTCTCACATCAGATCTTACGTAGATGATGAAGTGTGAATAGATGCACAGCGGGTGTGTGGGTGGCTAGGGTTTCTTCAGGAGGACGGAGCACACCTGGCTATCCCTGAGACAGCACTGCCAGTCATCCCCTTGCCCGAGGCTTGATGTTACAATTCAGTTTTGGGAAGACAGTGACAGAGGCTAATTTTGGGGAAGAGATTATATGCACGCAGACCACCATCTCCTTCGGTGTGCTGGGAAGGTGACTTTGGCCATTATTCTTTTTAAACAGAGGTGAGACAGGCAATATTCTGAGTTAATGACTTGTTATTTCTTGCCTCCAAAGTATCGTCCATCTATAAATGAACGATTGTCCCCGTAAGAGTTAACACAGGATATGCAGGCTCAGGTTTTTTGGTTGGGGCCATAGAAGGATAAAGATGAAACCAAACACAGAATACATACTTTTTAAAAAGACATCAGTGGATTTTTACACAGACTTTATTTATCTAGCACCTTCACCTAATTGAACTCGGCTAAAAAATCACCAGGAACCCCCACCAAAATGTTGAGGGGAGGAGTAAAGAGGTCGGCTTTATTGCAATTGTCTACTTCAGGCCAGGCGCTGTGAACAGGCTGTTTATATACATCAGCTTATTCGTTCTGTGAAGTCCTGATACACTTTCGATTTTATAAGTGTGAAAATTAAAACGCAGAGATCTTAAAGAAACATACCCAATGTTGTTTATTCTAGGAGACACCAGCCTTGGAACCCAAGTTTCTCCAAGGGCAAAGCCCTTGCATGCTTTCTTTCCCTTCTACCACTTGGCCTTTCTGGAATCAGATCTACCTGTACCAAAACTTAGGCACTTGATTCACATAAGAGCCTCTGCAGACCTGTAGTCAAGGTCTCTCTACAAGCATTTCAGATGAGTCTGATTCTCTATGGGATAATCTCCCGGAGAAGAGAGGGGCGACAAGCACTTGAGAACCGGCAGAGATGAGTACTACGTCTCTATTCTGGCACATGCAGCTTACCATTGCTGGCGGAACTCACTGTATTATGTATAATGACGGATGTTCCTAACGATTTTGCTCAGTGGACTCTACACAAGGAGGCAGGGAAGTATGCAATACATGTTAAAATAAGACTTTCTGCAAGTTCAAGTCCAGTAAAACCAAGTCTTGGTGCTTGAATGGGGTGAAGTTCTAACAGAAACCTAACACTGTAGGTGCTCCATTCCTCCATCAGGTGTGTTGGTGTGTTGTTAGGAGCCCTTATTTTTACTCTTTGACCTTTCTAACCTCCAGAAGATCACTTCTTATTCTTAGAATGAAGTTTCTATTCTTCTACTTTACAATAAGTCAAGATCTGTTTAAAATGTCTTTCTCATCACGTGTCAACCGACCACCTTAAAATAAGGAACTCGAGCATGTGGGCAGGGTGGTGGCTTTGGAGCCAACAACGTGGAATCTGCGTTTTGGTTCTGTGATTTTACATGTGACCTTGATTAATTTAGCCTCCTTAACAGTTTCTTCAACTGTAGTGGTGAAACGCTGATATTCACCATTGTACCTTGGAAAATTTGTCTTATCATCCCCTTCTGCTTTTCTTCATGCACTGAGAGTAGGACAAGGAAGAGCACTGATGGACTTGCAGAACATACCCTTTGGGGTGTTTCTAAGTGAGCAAAGGGTGAATGCCCTCCTTTTTCTATTCCTTCCCCTGGAACAGGTCAATAGTTTGCTGACTCCTCCTCCTTTCTCTACTCTCCTTGGATTCCAATCTTCCTGCTGTAATAGGAGCTTCTCCTTAGACTGCTGTTCTAGGCTGCATGGGTCAGCTGGGTACTAGGTAGTGTGACGAATAGATGTTTTTGCTTTGTTGAGGCCAACTCTACCCTTAGTATTTGTATCAGCCAGCTTTTCCACTGCTGGATACGATACCTAAGACCCACAACTTAAAGGAAGAAAGGTTTAATTTGGCTCACATTTTAGCTGACTCCAAGGCAGAAAAGCATCATGGTGGAAGGGTGTGGTCGACCAAAGGGGCTTAGTTCAGGGTGGCAGGGAAGAATAGCAGGTAAACAGAGCCACAGAGAAAGGAGCCAGGGACCGTAGCCCCAGACCATGGCTTCATGATCCATCCAGATATAACCGGAAGTGCAGTTCATCAATCCTCTGGGTGGATTCCATAGCCAATCAAGTTGACATCTACCCTACCCACCACAGGATCTTTTCTTTAGTTAGACTCTGACATTCAACCCTAGTTAGGATGTACTCACAGAGAGCTAAACTTAGGTAAATGAGTTCCCTACAGGAACAGGCTTACAATTTTTTTTTGGGGGGGGTACTGGGAATTGCACTAAGGGCCTTGTGCTTGCAAGGCAGGTGCAGTGCCACTGAGCTAAATCCCTGGCCCATGACAATTTTTCAAAGGCCACTGAATGCAGAACTCCAGTTTTCAATGAATGCTAGCTTTCCTTCCTTTGATCATGCACCACTTCTTTGGGGATCTTCAAGAAGGCAGGCGTGGATAGGGGCAAGATGCAGCCCACCATTGCAACACCACCCATAAGAGCCAAATGACATCTCCTTTCCACATCGAGAAGAGGATTAAGTGACACAATTCATAGAAAAACATTAGCATATGTCTCACTATTGAGCATTAGCCAGTACCCCCTACAAATTTGAATGTGGTTTTTCTTTTCTTCTTTTTTTTTCCTATCCCTACCTAACATTTAATACATCTAGCAAGGTGGTACAGTGGTATGTTTCCATTATTTTATGGTCAGAAAATTGAGGTTAAGAGAGATGTAGAAACCTGCAAATAGTTTGAAGAATTGAAAATTCCCAAATCTGGACTCTGCTTTGGAAAATATTTGCATATGAGAAAGAACAGCAAGGACAGACATGTCTTTCTTTTTCTCCAAAAAGGCATAGGAATATAATTTGGTAGAAGAAAAACACAAGGAGTATCTTGCGGTTTCAGGTGTCTGCTGGGATCACCCTCTCTCCTCTCCACCAACTCTGAAATAACAGAAGCTACTGAGAAGACGGTGGGAGTGACTGCTCTGGTCAGGGCAACACTGCCCAGTCCAGCAGCTAAAAATGCATTCCTAGTCAGGCTTTTAGTTCTTGTCTTCGGTTATTTATTGTCTGCCTTTTCTCACTATTGTAAATCCCATGATATCAGGGAACCAGTCTGTATGTTTCACTCCTGGATCACCTGGCTAACAGCAAATGCTCAAAACATGTTTGAAGACTGAATGGTCTGTGTACACCGTAAAGCATTCAAACATGGTGATTCTTATCTGCGTTATTGTTAAGAAAAGTTAAAACAAAATAAAAGGTGGACTTTTTCATTAGATATTAATTTTTCATAAATATGAACATTATTAGTCAGCAAGAGAACTCAGGTAGCCAATACTGATTTTCTTATTTCCCTTGGAATTCCTAAGTTTTTTTCCCCCTCCCAAGTGACATGTGATATTAGCATTGAAATCACATAAAATGAAAATGGTGAGCCTTCATTTCTTGTTTCTAATTTTTGTAACCTCCAAGAGTGTTTCTTGGTTTTGCTGATTATTCTGCAATTTCCAGGTTCTCTCCAGATGTGAGGAAAATTGCTTACTTGGTTGAGATGCTTGTACTTACTTGATGAAGTACTTGATTCCATCTGCTGTGTAAGCTTCCTCCCACCCATAAGGTAAGCCTAGAGTGAAAGGAAACCAAAAATACACTTAATAAGATGATGAAGATAACTTTATTTCCTGGACCACGAACCTCCCCCCATTTATTATTTCAGTACATTTCTCACACAAAATAATTTTCCAGAAAGGGGGAATTAAGACAATTCAATGAGCTTTATGCTCAGCATCTTTACAACACAATAAATAAGTCCTGAACACTTAACAATCTGCTTCCGTTGCAATAACCGGATTATGACTTGTCATTTACATGTGCTGAGCATTTTTGTCAGCAGGATTCAAGCAAAAAAATCTGTATTGCAGCGGATGGTTTTTGCCTCGAGGCAGAAGGATGGACAAGATGGCCCCTGCTTGTCTATTCTGGCTCAAAAGTTTCTTTAATTGGCTCCCTTTACATTCTTTCACTCAGCTCCACAGGGAATCATGCATGAGTGCCAGATCAGCAGGGGTCTGAAAGTACTTTTGGACAAGACAAAATTCCTTATTAAGTTTGAAAGTTTAGCAAAGTGATTTACAATGGATTGTGGCATTTTACTTCGTTAATTAAGAATTTTGTGCACTAAACATAAACAGCCAAACAGTTTGCTAAACTTAGCTTCCATTTCTGTAATGGGATGATAATAATGAGCTAAAAAGAGATATGGAATGAAGTAAGCAAGCACTATGTGGCCATATTCTACAAATGAGTATATTTTTGCCCTCGTTACACCAAGAGATGGTCCCCTGTTGAGGCAGCCGCTTTCTCTTATATGCTAATTTTGGGTGGTATTCATCTAAAACATGATGGTTTCCACTCTTTTACTCCATCCCTGACTGCTGACCTTTTGGGTCAATTTTTTGACAGTGGCTTATCATGGCTCCTTTGATGGGAATAGCATACATTAACACGCTAAAGAAAAGACTCCATTGTTCAGGTAGCCTACATTTTGGAAAATAACTAAGCTTTCACAACAAATGCTTGACTTCCTTTCCCCCATGTAAAGGCAAGGGGCAGAGCAAAACTATGGAAACAGTTGGACTTTCCAAATGATAAAACTTTACCCCATCACCATTCAATTCTTAATATTCTTTTGAGAATCAACTTTTAGGATATTATCTTTGTAAGTAAGAAAAACAGCAAATGAAAACGAGCTTTATACTGATTTCTAATCTTAATATTATAGGTAGATGAGCTAGGTATAAATATTATAGGCAGTCAGATAGGGCTAAGTCCTGGAGAGGGCCAGGACAAAGGCGAAACACGCCGCAGCTGCACGTCGGCTGAAAACCAGGCCTCAAGATGGAGACAAGATGACCTCACCCACATATTTCTTCAAAGAGCTGGGCTTAGTGAAGTATAGATAGGCATCGACCACCCCGGGAGTGACCAGAGACCTCCAGACCCGCTGCCTCCCAGGAGAATTCTTGTTCTGTCCATCCATGCTTACTACGTGACCTGCTTCCCAATTAGACCACCATTACCTAAGTGACTCTACTTGTAACCCTATTGGATGCTTATGGCTGTGGCCTACATTGTACCCATGTGGGTTTCACCCCATAAAACTTCTCTGTCAAGTGAGGTCCCTGGGCTACCCACTTGGGTAGCCCCTCAGGAGCATTCCTATCAATAAATATCTTTCTTCTTTTAACCTCCATCATTCCTAGGACTCATTCTTCTAGAGGATAAGAACTTGGCATATCATACAGTTAACAGGTTGGAAGATTTCATATTTCATATTTTCCCATGACATTAATACAAGTTGTATAAAATGAGACCAAGTGCAAAAATTCCTACATTCTCTCTTAATGAATCAGTGTTCCTATTCTAAGCAGAAAGTAAGCACTTCTGAGAACTCTGAGAACTCAGCATAAGCAAATGACTGAATGACTTCTTAAATCCCCTGCAGTGACACTCTGGGTCTGTTCTCTAGAGTCCACAGCCAGGTCTAGCTCAGCCACTGTTGCACTGGTTCAACTGGATTCATCTTCATTCTTCATACTTCCAGCATCCTTCTGCAGATTACTTCGTTCACTATTGACAAGCCCTCCAATCGCAGGGAAGGATCTTATGACAGGGCGTAAGAACCTCGCTTTCATGACAAAATAGGCTCAAAAACACTCGAATTTCTGATTAAAAAGGCAAAGGCAGCTAAAGGTTATGTAGAAAGTTATCTAATGTGATGAAAGTTTTTGTCTGTAAATGACTTGTTCCATCAGCACAACTGTACTATTTTAATTTCTTAAGTCACAGATTTTTTTAATGAAGAGGAAAAATATATACTTTATAGACAGTATCTTTGAATTCACAGGATCACTTAAGAGTTGAGATTGATATAGGAATGTCATGTCCTCTGTGCCATGGAACAGAATTCCTACCTTGATTATTTCCTTACTATAATGAAATAAAAATTCTAACTTTATAACAGACATAAAAGGTATAACTCATAAGCATTTGAGTCAAAATTGTTATTCAGTACCTGTCATCATAAAATATTCCTGTGGATTAAGTAATATGTAGAGATTATTTTAGGATAAATTCCCTGTTCTGAGAAAATAAGTATTTCTTTTTAGGAGATTGACTAGCTTATTTTTCACACAGTTAACATAATATGCAACAAATATGTAAAACATATTTGGAGCCTAAATGAATAGTGATCGATGTCTCCATGATAGTTCAGTTATAGAAAATACATTCACTGTCCAATGACAAACTAAAAAGCACAAGTAGCCTACTTTATAAAAAAAATAAAGCATTTTTGATCATCACAAGTTTATATGACTATGATGGACTCAGTTTTTACATTATTAAATTGTAGCATTTCTTCACAATGAATGCTTTGGATGCGATTACAACATAAATAATTTGAAGTACTCATTATTGTTCCAAATATAGAAATATTTCTATATTCACAAAATCTTTATACTTGTGAATATATAATGTTTCTAATTTTCCCTTTTCATATTTGTTTTAAAACTGTTATGACAACTATAACCACCTGAAATTGGTCCTGATTGGAAGTGTTTGTCTGAATCCTCACATAACATTCTTTGCACCAGCTATCATCTGCTTCCAATCAAAAACTTCATGGTGATGGTTCCAAAACTGGCATCAGTATGTTGCCAAGGTAAAAGTCTTGAACATACTGAACTTAGAATACTGGCTGTCACCTAGATCTCAACATATCCCAAATCAGACTCATCATGTTTCCATACAGAATGTTTTCCTTTCCAATTTCCCAGTCCATTTCTGTACCAAATATCTTCTTTGTCATATTTGGCCCCATGATTCATTCATTAAACATTTACTGATTATTTACTATATGACCAGCATTTTGCTGTGTGCTTGATATACAATGATGTACAAAAGGACACAGACTTTGATCTTATAGAGCTTTAAACATAATCATAAGACATTAAATATAAGTACTACAAAGAAAACTATGGCATACTATGAAAAAACAAGGCACAAAGGCTAAACTCCCTAACACATAAAGAACTTCTACAAATCAATAAAAAAAAAGGTCAATGACAAATATGCTAAGTAACAAAATAGGTAATACATGGAACATTTGGGACACAAGAAACACAAATGATGTAAACGTATGAAAATATGTCGAACTTCACTCTTAATAAGTGACATGGGTTAAAGAACTTGGAGATGTCACGTTTGCCTATCAGATTGGCAAAGACTGAAAAGCAGTTTTGAATAGAGATGTGGTATTTAAGATGTGAAGAGACAGTCATTCTCATACTGGTGAAAGTACAAAATTACAAAAGATGTGCATGAGGAGAAACTTGTGAACATCTATCTAAAAATTTAAATGTTAATAATTACAAGAGCTGGTGTTTATTGAGTAGCTACGTGCCAACCACTGTTCTGAGGAGCATACATGTACCAACTTCACTTAATCCTCACAATGAATCTCTGAGGTCCTGTTATTATCCCTACTTCAGAAATGATGGCATGGAAAGGTGGTGAACTTGCCAAACGTTACACAGCTGGCTGGTGGCAGAGGCCAAGCTCTTAACCGCCGAATTGAACTAGCTCAGGTTCAGCAATTCTTCTTCTAGTAACTTATCTCATAGATATGATGGGAAATAATGTAAATGGCCACCAAGAGAGTCTGATGAAATATACTACATCCAGATAATGGGATACTGGGCATCTATGAAAAAGAATCGGGATGTAATGTATAGAGCACCAATACAAAGGAGGGTAGAGAGGCAAGGAAAGATCAATCCCTGGAGAGGCCGGGGCTGTCTTTACCACAGACATGTTAATGAATTCCCTAGCCCAAATGAGTAGCATCTGTGTGGGCTCTGTCATGGGAAGTACTTGGCACAGCCGAGGAACAGAGGGAGAGAGTACGCCTGCTCCTGGAGCACAGCAAGAAAGGGAGAAGAGGTTGATGAAAGATCTTAGAGGGCTCTGCAGTCCACTTCAAAGTTGTCTGGAAGTTTCTTAAGGAGTGAAGCAGGAAATTTGCTCCTGTTTAGGATGAAGAAAGCTGGGAGAGAATGCCGGTCCCACCATATGTGGGGAAAAGCCATATACAGTAATCTAAAAGATTTTTTTTTTCTTTTGTGATCCACAGAGACTGAGTTCTTCACCTGACTGAATTCGAAAGGGCAACAAGTCCCCGCTGAGGGGAGACAGGGCATACAGATATTCTCACTTGGCAGATCACAGGAAGATGAAGTATTGCCATAAAAAGGATAAGAAGAAAAGAGCTGATACTGTAACCCATCATGAACTCTGATGATGGGACAACATTATAGTGCAGTATCTCTGGGAGGCCTAAACACAGGGAGACTCTACCCACACTAAACAGCTCTTGGCTCCCGAGGAAGACTGGGGAGGACATGAGGCCTGGGAGATCTTGTAGGACATGTATGTTTGCAAAGGGCCTGCGAAGACTCCAGATACGGCAACAGCAGATGGACAAGTTTGTTTATGTTCTGGGCCCTGCATGGGTACAAGATGGTGATTGCTATTGGGGAGGGGAATAAAACACGTGGGCACCGG